TATTTTATTGATCTCAAAGACAGAAAATATTTGCCAAGCTGTGTTAGGCACTGTGATTCAGAATATTTCTATTTAATTTATACTCATTACTATTATACACTCTGATTAATGCACTGGCAGTCCAATATTGATGGCACTAGGATTTTATAATTAAGAATTAAACCTTTGGAGCAAGACTGATTTACTCCAGGGCCCCCAATTCTGGAAGGAGAAATGTTGAGCCTTGACATGATGAAAGAGGTGGTTATCACAGTACAGAGAGAAAGAGAGAGTGCATGTTATGGGGTTTTATAGATAATATGAATTATCAAGGACTTTCATGAATTACACACAGGAAAATGTGAAGATCTGGAAAGTAGAGAGCCCAAACAGAGAAGTCATCCTAGATCTACTTCTTAACAATATGGTAATGTTCAATGAGGGCCTGATGCTCTTACCTTAATTTCAATGGAACCTTTCAGAAAATAAGAGTACATCATGAATAAGGGTGTTAGAATCAGGTGTGGGAGTGTGTGATTAATGAGGCATCTTGGTACGCCTTGTAATGTACTACTATTGGTAAGGTGAGCATTTGGCTCCATCTTCCTCCTGCTGAAGTTAATGGCAAATCCCCAATTAACTGCTGTAGGAGGAGGTTTGGGCCAGGAAAAGGCCATTGTGGAGAAATATTTAGAAAACACTAATTTTCGGAAGTTAGAAAAGAAAGGGGAAAACATCAGTGGTGATAGCCATGTGAAAACTGGACACGTGCTATGGTGGATATAATTGACCAGAGAGATGACAATCCCTTTCTGTACATCACTATTCAGCTCTATTCTTCATTACTGCAGTCCATTCAGTTTCAGTACCAGAGGTTATAAAGCAGAGGGATTGTCCAACCAGAAGTAGGATATGAAATTAAGTAAAGACAAATTTAATCTGAAATTTAAGAAAAAACATCCTAAGACTGATATTTGACTGCAAAAAAGTCTCCTTAGGAAATAGTGAAAGCCTGCTTAAGTCACATAAAATTAGACACACTATTCTGTACACAACAGTCATGCCCTCTTACAGGGAAGGGACAAGCTAGTTTTTTTTCCATTTTGTACAATTCTATTCTAAAAAAGTATAACTTACAACAGGAAAAAGAAAAAAAATGTTAGAAATAATTTTGTAACTAAAAGAATTAAACAGTAAAAAAAGTTTTAACAAGAGGTTGTGGAATTGCTATCATGGAAGACATTGAAGTCTCTGGGATTTACCTAAGCTTTTAAAGCCAGATTTGTCTGATAAAATATTTGATTGCTGTGGTATTGTGTTTTCAGAATGGAAATGCCATAGCATTACCAAGAAAACTTCCATATCAGATCCAACTGTAGGGCATTAATATAATATTTTAGCTTAGAGTGTATAATAATAATGAGTATAAATTAAATCAAAATACACTGAATCACAGTGGCTAATGTAGCTTGCAATATATTTTCTGTCAGTGAGATCAACGAAATAAAATGTGCTAAAAAAATTGTGCCAAATGATTCATAGCTAAGGGCCAGAACACAGACAAAATAATAGATGTGCTATAAATAAATAAATAAATTCCTGGACTGATATAATAAAAAGGATATCATGTCAACGTCTGAGTAATACAGTATTCCCACTTGTGAGAATTAAGCAACCTAACTTCCTTCCTTTATAGGGTTTCTGTGAGTTATTAGGATCACTTGGGGGATTTATATATCCAGCGTGAAATCATACAGAATCTTTCATCCATCATGTCTTGCTTGTGAATTTTTAAAGGAAATATAATAATGACTGATGCAATTAAAGTATTATCCTCGATACTATTTTAGTCACGGTCCTAGTGCTCTTGCAAAATGAACAAACACAGCTTAATTTGATGTATACTACTACTTCATCATTATAAAATATAATTGAAGAAGCCTAAACACCACATTTCAAAGGAAGCCTTCACTGTACAGTTTCATGTTAAAGATTTCCTTGCTCCTCCTTATCCTTTGTTGTTTTATTTTTATAACTTTATTAAGAAAATGTCCAAAATGTATTTATAAGCATGTCCACAAAATTGCTTTTTAAAGGAAATATTAGAGAACATACAAAATGACGTGTACTAAAGATCTGACTGTATATATTTGCACATACACTTACACTCACAGACTATATTAGAAGACAGTTATTTGTTATAAAGTTAAACCCTCAAAAGTTAGAAAATGCCAGACTTACGGTTGTCTGTGAAAGCTTAAGTCTATTGTGCATCCAACATGTGCACTTAATGCAGTAGAGGAAAAAATGTATATGATCATGTAATTAATGTTTTTATCATAATACACAAGGTGACTGAATTAATGTTATCTGAACAACTATAACTTGGTATTTCCTAACTTTTAGTGCTTGACTCTGCAACCTAAATATGCATTCTTTTAATATAGTTTTTGTGTGTAATTTTAAGTTTTAAGTAAAATAAATATACCAAATGTTGCAAAGGGGTCATTACACATGTATCTCAATCTTGCTATATATATAAAATCTGTTAAAAGTACATATTTTGTTTTGTGCTAGTGTAAAAAAAATGCTAAAGTTGTCTGATTTTATTACTGTGGAAAAATATACACAGAGTAACAGTGAATGGAGATGGGGGTGGATTCTGAATTTCATATTTTAAAAAAAATGACTAGATAAATGAAATTATGTAGTAACTGAAGGACGTAGATTTTCAGTGAACCCAGTCCAGCATTTCTGATGAAACGTATAGGATGGAATTTTGACCCCACTGAAATAATGGGAGTTTTGCTGTTGATTTCAATATAGTTTGGCAAGCTGTCTTATCTTACTCAGGGTCAGCATTTGGGAGCAGGTGTTGCTTAATTACCTCTGATGGAATGTTCAGTCTGTTTCTTACAGTGGTTAACATATGAGATTGGTACTTCTGGTTATTGTCTGGGTGCCCAGAGCACTTGGTAATTGGAACAACAGCTTTTTATATTTGAAGGGGAAAAAAATTGGTCAAGACCTCAGTATTTGAGAGAGAGAGAGAGAGAGAGAGAGAGACGACTCCAGCTCAGCTCAACTTAGAAGCTCAACAGACTAGACTTTGAGTCACAACTTGAAGGGCATATCTGACTTTGAACTGCAGTTTTAATTAGTGGAGATTTGACTTAATAGTGTAAAAATTATCTGCCCGTTTAAAGGTTAAATTGTGATTAGACGAAGCTTGTCGTTCCAGTTGGGATTAAAGTTTGTGTATTATGGAGGGGATGGTCATCAAGATTACCCTGAGTTTTTCATAAAAAAACATATAGTCATAAGTAATAATGAACACGTCTCAAAGGTTTCATTCAAAACATGTTCAAACTCTGGACGGGCTAAACCGTTCAGAATAAATAGAAACTGACCTGAACCTTCACCCAAAGCTGGAGCCAAGCAGTATTCTTTGTTCAAAATAAATTGAGTATTTTTTTTCCCCCAAGAGCAGAAGAGATAAAATAGTGCTAGAAAAGATTGTCTTTACATTTCTTCCAGACTAACTGGAAACTGGCAAAATCTCAAACCTCTGTTTCAAGTCCCAAGTTTTGCTTTTACTGAGAACACATTAATATAAGCTTAATAATGTGAGATTATATGAGATGTGGTGGATATTGGCTGTAAATTTGGTTCTACGTCAGTAAGGACATTGGCCTTTTGGATGCAGGAAATGGTGGTTGACAGGTTTGTGCCAGTCCATCTCTTGATGGCCTGAGGCTCTGCTCCTTTATGTATTTAGGTATTCATGAAAATTCCTCAGTTCCTGCTCTCTTATTGGTGACTGCTCATTATAGCTGCTGTCTCCTCCACTCACTTTATTTTGTATGTCATTCCGAGCATTTTTTAACCATCTCACCATTCTGAGCTTTGCCATTTTGAGTTAGGTCTTTGTTCCCTAAACAGATAAAAGATGCAGACCTGCATCGTTTGAGCAGCAACGGCCAGCTTTGGGTCAGAAAGGAATTTTCCCTAACTGATTAGCTGTGGTATCAAGTGACAGTAAATTGAGCCACTTCCTGAGAATTCAGCAAATCCTAGCTGTGGCTACTGTTTAGTGCTGTATTTCTGTTTGTCTCTTCATACTAGTTTACATAGGGCTTATATTTGGGGTTTTTCCCTTGGTGAACTTCTGGCATCTTTATCGCAAATTTTAGTCAGAATAAGTACATTGGGTAAACTTGCATATCATTTTAAATCTAAGCACATAACAGGAATGAGAGAGACAATGAGCTGTTGGGAGGCTGGGCTGTACCACTATGTGCATATTTACGGCACCCCAGGTTTGATCTTCATTCTTACTGTGAGAAATGGGCCATTTGTGGAATTTTAGTCTGCAGGGTGCAGTCCCAAGTGATAGTACCTTACTACAGATAGGACTAAGAGGCCAGGGTTACAGATGAAAAAGACTGCATTGGATGTTGGGGGCGAGAGGAGGTTTCCCACAGTATTTAAAACTAATAATATTGCTATTCCTTTAGGATTGTGATACTGTAATGAAAAAAGTACTGACATTTTCAGTTTAGTTATCCTATAATATTGATTTGCATGGCGTTTTAATAGATAATTTTTCTTATTTAAAAATTAGCTATTAGGCTTTTGTCTTAAATAATAAAACTTCTTACCATCATACAATTTGAACATCTTGCATGATACATTAGAACTATCTACTGTAATAGCAAGTAATACACGCTCTTTGAAATTAAGGTATTGGTCAAAAACTACTCTGAGGGTATGAGACATCTTTAAAATGTCTTTAGAGCTGGAAGAGTATGCTTTAATTTTGGACTATTCTGCATAGTAATAGTATAATAGCAAACCAGTGAAGGTGTTGTTGTTTTTTTCCTATTAGCATTCTGTTTTAACATTTTGTATTGTATAATCATAGTGTGGAGACAAATATAATTTTTAATTTCTTGAGGTGTTCTATTTCCAGACGGCCTTTCATATTTACTAAGTAATTATCCCGGGCACACTTTCCACAGGCAACACAGAAGGAGATTGAAAAACGCCAGCTCCATCTAAAGAGCATCAGTGATCTAGGAGAGGGTTTGAGGACGGTGCTTAAGGAAAAAGAAGGTCTAGTGGATGATAAGCTCAGCCTTCAGAAAAGTAACTGGATAGCAGTAACTTCACGAGCTGAGGAGTGGTTCAACCTATTGTTGGTAAGATAAAAGTATTTGTGCTTCTAGTTCACCATCACCAAATTATACTAAGCCTAAGTATATGGCTAGGTGTGGATGTCAATATTATGGGCTCAACCCCATTACATTGCACTTTTAGGCCCCATTAGAATACATGTATACATGGGTGCACTGTCACCACATTCTGTGTCGATATGTTCACTGACCTCAGTGGTGTTTTGTGGGTTGTAAACAAAGAATTTGGATGTGTGTGTGTGTGTGTGTGTGTGTGTGTGTGTGTGCAGAGTAACAAATAGAGACTCACTGCTGGCATCTCTTCTTTTCTGCCTCACCAAGGCTCTGGGCTGTGCCCTGCTGTTGAGTCAGCGAGGCAAATGGGCAGTATTGTGAAGAGGAAGTAGCTTAGGGAACTGGTCAACTCTTGTTGTACTTTTCTGCAGCTATGCTGGATTATGGGAGTAGGTTAAAAACTTAAATTCAGCTGGGCAATGTCATTTGCTCACACGGATAATAGGGGTGTGTGGGTGTGTGTGTGTGAGAGAGAGAGAGAGAGAGAGATTCCGTGTTTTAGAAGCTGTACTTGTATGAATATAGGGATTCATAAAAATATGAGAAAATAATCCAAATTTTCCAAAAGAAAGCATTTTAAAATTCTTCCTTAGCCAAAATGAGGAATTTAAATAGCCATTCAATTTGCTTTCAAAGAGGTGGGGGACTAAATTCACTCACGTAGGTGCAATAACCAGAGAATTTAGTCCAAGTCAAATTGAAAAACCCACTTATACCTTAAATATGTCACTATTGCTCTTCTCTAATACATATAAATATTTACATACTGCCAATGGATATAAACACACATATGAGAGAGAGCGCTACTGGAAAAAAGTAGTTAATTTTAGCTTTATAATGTATGTAATGTTTGCCACAGTTTGCATAATCATGGATTTCTTTTATTTCAGCTCTGATTATTTTTTAATAAATACCATTTTCTGCATACAGGAATATCAAAAGCAAATTGAGACATTTGATCAGAATGTAGCTAACATCACAACCTGGATGTATCGTTCGGAAATATTATTGGATGAATCTGAAAAACAAAAATCTCAGCAAAAAGAGGAAGTTCTTAAGGTAACACATGCAATTTTCTGGAAAGCATTTATTATTTTATTCTAAAAAACTATATACATTACGCTTTTTAGCCTAGAGGTTTTAAAGTGCCTCATGAAAGATAGTGAAATGTTATTTTTCTCTTGACAAATCTATCCTCCAACAGCTTATAAATTGCTTAATAATATTGTAATGAATAGCAAAAGTAAGCCCTGCAGTAGAAAAAAAAATGAAATATGTTTGTTATTTTAAGGCTTGGGGACTTCATAGTGAGCAGAACACTTATTCTTAAGCCTATCTCTGCTGAAAACTATTACCTCAAATGCATCTATTTAAAAAAGAAAAATTTATCTGTGTGCTCCTTTTCCTCTCTGCTCCCTTCTTTTGTGAATCATTGTGTGCTTGCTATTCATATCATAATGTTTTAGCTTACCAAACACTGATTACACTGGCAACATACAACTGAGAATAATCCTAGCTGAAGTGGCTTATCATTTATTGAAGGGATATTATGTGGCATATACAATGCATGTACAGGTCCCCATTGCAAACAACAAATCTGCCCTCAGATCCAGGGCAGTATTTAGCACTACGATATCATCAGATCCAATTTATTAAAAATTGACATGAACTCTAAAGCATATGAGGCTCAGAGTTTGCATCCAGTCTAAGACAGTTTTTCATACTTGAGGCTGTATTCTGCCTTGAGTTATGCTCTGTATTGATTGTTGTCCCCTGAATGAATTTGTGTGACATTTAGTCACCCGGATATTTGACCGTGCTTTAACAACATGGTCAGTACATGCTAATTGAGGAACAGTTTGCAAAATCTAAATGGGACTGTCTTACTGACACTAGCGTGATACAATTTGCTAAAGCAAAACTTCACAAATTTCAAGGCAGCCATAATTTTCAAACCAACATTTATTCAGAGAATAAATCAGTGCTTCATAACATTGATCTCAGCAGGATTACAGGGCAGTCTTTTTAATAGGATGAGCAATTTTGCCAATGTAAGGTATAAAGTACAATTATCCTTTCCATCAATACAGGCATAACCTCCTATTACACAGTCATTTCTTGTAGGCAATGCATCGCAAATCCTAAAGACCAATTATGTGTCAAATCTCCAGTGTTTTAGCCTACACTTACATACTTTTGCCTGTTTTTGGCAATACCTTCAAGCTTCCAATAGCAGAAGCAGGTGATTTTGCTCATCTTCTCCTTTCTGGGCATTTAACATAGCGTTTTTCTCATCATGAACAATAGTACCATAGCAACAGAGGGTCCTGTGGCACCTTTAAGACTAACAGATGTATTGGAGCATAAGCTTTCGTGGGGATGCATCCGACGAAGTGGGCATTCACCCTTAGTCTTAAAGGTGCCACAGGACTCTCAGTCTGGATCTGTAAAAAGCAACAAACACGGCTACCCCTCTGATAAATAGTACCATAGCAACAGAGGGTCCT